GGAAGATGACCCCAAACAGAAAAAAAGTCTTAAACAAACATGTTTATAAGCTCAAAAAAAAACTTTTTTCAGTTTATGACAAAACCCAGAAATGCTTGCAAATAATGCTAAAGAATGAAGCAAAATAAAGCTACAAAGAAGGAAATGGTGACTTACCCTTGTAGCACAGCAAAGCAGCAAGCTCTAGACCAAGAAAGTGAGCCCTCAACCTCTAAAAAATAGCTCCAAGGTACTTAGGATGGTAGTGGAGGTGTTGTGCTTGTAGGTGTAGTGCAAATGGCCAAGAACCATGGAGCTATGGAGCTTAGATGTAGAGATATAGAGGGAGAGTATATGTATGCCTCAGCCAAAAATGTTCAACCTTTGCAAATGGAGAGGAGAGCCTCTCTTATAAAAGAAGAGGTCTAAGGCTTCTTGGAGAAGCCTCAAGCAAAGGGACCAAGCTTCTAAAAGAAGCTAAACCAAAAGGGTCAAGCTTCTTGAGAAAGCTAGACCAAAGGGGTCAAGCTTCCTCAAGAAGCTTGACAAAAGGTCAAGCCTCTCTTAGAAGCTAAGCAAAAAGGGCCAAAGCTTCCTTAAGAAGACAAACAAAAGGGTTAAATCTCGGAGGATGGGACAAATGCCTCCCAGCTGGCACAGCTGTATGCAACTCAGGAAGGCCAAAAAGGAGATGGCTGGCCGACCAGTTCAAGTGGTCGGCTGACCAGGGGTCAAAAAGGTCAACAAGAAAAGGTGGTCGGCCATGCCAAAAAGGTGGCCTCCTAGGTGAATGCAACACAGTGGTGGTATGGGAGACCAGAAATTATGACTCAAAAGTAAGGGAGACCAAGGGGTCAAAAGGGTCAAGCACCAAAGGTGGTCGGCCATACCAAATAGGTGGCCTCCCAGATGAATGCAACACAATGGTGGTATGGGAGACCAGAAATTATGGCCCAAAAGTGAGGGAGACCACCTCTCTAACAAGAAAATCGGGCGGCGAAAAGAAAAGTGGTCTCCAAGAAGAAAATGTGGTCTCCCACCATACTACCACCTTTTTAACAATGAAACTAGGCTCCATGCCAAAAATGAACCCTAATCGATGCAAAACGAGGGTTCGGGGGCCAAAACGCGCAGCTAGGGGCCCCGAAAACTGACTGTTAAGCGCCGGAAGTGGTGTGCGACCCCGAAGATGGTCTTCCGGGCCACAGTGTCCCTCTAGGGAGAGGAAACGAGGTGTGTGCTGAAAATCGGAGCAAACGGAGGTAGTTAAGCGGTCCCGAACCGAGGCGCGCAACCGAGGGCTTCGAAAACCGAAAACTAGTCTCCAAACGGGAACAGTGGCCTACGACCACGAAAAGTAGCCTATGGCCACTGAGAGATGGTCTACAAGACCTCTTCCTCCCTTCGGGAAGAGAAAATAGAACCAGATTCACAAATCGAGGCACAACACAAAAGAGCCCTGAAGTCCGGAGGCAAGGCTCTCAGCCGAGACTCCGCAACCTCAGAACAAGCACAATATGCGTCATCACCGAGTACTCAATCGATGACGTCTGAGTCTTAAGGTCGGTCAAAAATGGGGTGTTTACAGTATTGCATCACTTTTGCGTGCTTGGTATATTGCATAATGCTTAGCTAGTTGCATCACACAACATTGTTGCATACTTGGCATGTTCATGTTGCATTAGTTTGAATTGCATGCTTAGGTTGTATTGGGTTTGACATATTTGCTACCTCAATCTTGTGTACATGTTCGAGTCACATTGCATTTTGGCATGCTTATGTTGCATTGCATTACATTTTCATGTTGCATTATATTTGGCATACATGCATTGCATTGTTTTTGGTTTGGGGTGTCAAACCAAACACGAGGAGCGAGGAACGTTTGTACTTAAAGTGACGAAACGTGCCCCCAACCCTTAGTTTGACGCTCTTGATCAAGCATGATAGAGTTCTAGGCGTTCATTTGTTTTGTTGCATTCATTCCACATTGATTTGCGCACTTGACACCTTTGGCTATCACACATCGAAATGCGTGATTGGTGGCCCGAGGGTCGAAAGCCATACTTCCTTGAGTCCATAGCATGATAGGGAGAGTGGCCGTGCACATATCATCTTGTAAATGCCTTGCCATGCACTGTTTGTCCTCTGCTGCAACAAAAACAGAATTCTGCAGGAATACGTGGCCGGTCAACCATATTCAGTGCCAGCCGGCCAACAATATCCAGCCGATGATCTCCACTTCTGGTCGATGACCAATTCCGCATGGCCGGTGTTCCCCTACCCTAGCTGGTGACTTCCCACAGTGCTCAGGGAGTGGCTCAGAAACATACTTGGGACTTGTGCAGTCTTCAGAGCAGCAAAACAGTGCAAGTAGAGGCAACATGTGGCATGGCAACGGGTTTCCGAGAGAGGCGATCGAGCATGCATCATTCAATCATTCTGAGGTGGAGCTGCGGCGGCCTCCTTTTGTAATTAATTTGTTAGTTAATTAAGGGTTTGTAACAATTAATTAGCTAGGGTAGTTGATTAATTATTCAGTTTGTATTATTTATTCGGACCCTCCGTCGAGAGGGCGAATTTTGTAATAAGTGTGCGTGAGTGTGTGAATGTCTTCCAACCTCACGTCTTTCTCCCTTTTACTTACCTGCTTTCAATGGTTAGCTCTAGGTCATGTTTCAATTAAGCATCCTTATGCTCGCATGTTTGCATCATTTATCTGTATTGCATGCACCGGGCTCGGCGCATCATACTAACCGTATAGTATTTCAACTTCAACTTGAATACGTGTATTGAGTTGTCGCATTTCATATGTCATTCTTAGATAGCCGAGCCTATTTCTAGGTGCGTGTCGCATGTGTTGCATTAGCCATCTTAACATGAACTAGGATCACGCATTGATTTCTAACAAGTTCCTTGTTTTGGCTTGGAGTACTAGGTAAGCGTTTATGCTTTAGCATACTGCATGCGTGTAAGTGTTGCCATGATAGCATGCTTACTATGAGACTATTTGCTTACGTGATATAACTGCCTGAATGCCTGTGGGTAAAGGTTGGATTGTTTGAATTGTAATAATTCATCGAAATCCGCATTTTAGCCTACTTGTGAGTAGCAAAATTCAAACCATTTCCAAACAAACGGATATGCGATGCTTTGTTCCAAATTAGGTGATCTAGTCTATACTTGTTTTGCTGTGTGCATCATGTAGTAAAGATTAGCTAATTAACCAGAATAAGAACGCATGTGTTTTCAAAAATAAGATATCATGTTTAGTAGTGGCCGATTTTTGATCGGGCGAGCGGGAGTGCTCATTGCATGACCTTCCCCAATCGTACCCAAGTTCCCGAGCCGAGGCAACTTTGGTGATGACGGACACGTGGCCTTAGGCAACGAGTCAGGATTTCCTAAATTCTCCAAAATAAAATATTTTGGTGGCGACTCTGTATCTGGCAAAGCAGTCCATGTTTGGCACTTCTTTCTTAAAAATCAATTTTTCAAAACGATTTGCTGGATTTGGACTCTTTGGTGATTTATCAGTCTTGTATTGCACTTTGCAAGATCAGATTAAGAAACCGTGACAAATGAGTCCGAACTGTGGTAAGCATAAGGTCCACGGGGCGCGTCCACAGCTGCACGTGTGGGGGTCATAGCCGCACTTGAGGTGCTGGGTTGCCTTGGCTGGTGCAATATAAGCAGAATGCTTGCCTTGGCTGCCCTATTTTTCGCACGTGCAGGGCCGCAAGCCGCACGTGTGGTGCTGGGTTTGCTTGACTCCGAAAATCTGCTCTTGTTTGGGTCTTCAATTTAACCACATTTTGGTCTCAAATTCATATGTTTCAACCCATGAATTTATATAAACAACCTTGAATTTGGACCCTCAACAGTAAATGGAGATCAAAATAGAGATTAAAACTTGAACTCAACTCCCAAAGTTTCAATTTGAAAAGATTAAACTTCAATTGAATTACAAAACATAAACTACGTGTTTCAAAATGTTCAAGTACAAAACTCATGAAGAAATCCCTTGAATTCATGAGGTTCGTGCATTAAATTATTTGTAACTACAAGAAACAACAAGGATATGAAGAATTCATGCCATGCAAGGTGAATTTAAGAGTTAATTCACTCATTCCTTTCATAAAAAGCCATGCATGTAGTAAACCTCTAATTACATGAACCAAACTTTCACTTACACATTTTTCTTGGCTAATCTTGAATTCCATGAATCATAAGCCTAAGTCTTCAAGTACATGAAATTACAGAGGAGAATTCTTACCTAGAGTGAGTGAATTGTGAAGAACAAGGTGTAGTTGCAATGGTTTTCATAAGCTTCTCTTCTTACTCTATGTTGAGCTCTCACTCTCAAAGTCTCTCCCTCTCTCTCTCTACATATAGTGCACCAAAATCCTCCAACTCTCTCTTATTTCCCTTTTTCCGCTATTCAACTTGATGAGTAGAGTTAAGGATTAATTAACCTTTAATTAATCTTAAACATTGATAAATTGTAGGTTTGACTAATTAAATCAATTTCATTCACATTAAATTAATCTTTATCATTTATGATCTCAGATACACTAAATTTAAATAAATTAATGTGAATTAGGCTCTAATTCATATCTTATTCTTTAATTTTACCTTGTTAAGATTAACGAATCGGACAAGTTTAATTTATACATATCTGCATCTGCTCCCATTAACAATACAATACCAATCAATGCAAGCATATATTGTATGACACATAATTCGCATAACACATATCACATAATTAACAATAAGCATATAATTAATATAATTATAATCAATTTGCTTAATTAAGGAGGTGGTCGTCACATTCTCTCCTCCTTAGGGCGTTTGGTCCTCCAAACTCAGTTACCTTTCTCCAGGAAGAATATAGGATCAAGTGGGAAGTGGTCCAGATATCTTCTCTTTATATCATCTTCTCTTTTCCAAGTCGCATAGATACCACCATGATTTTGCCAATCCACTTCCACTAACGGAATTTCTTTGTTTCTCAACTTCTTGATTCACTTGTTTACAATTTGAATAGGCCTTTCCTCATAAGTATAATCATCACTCAAAAGCACATGGATAGGCTTAATAACATGAAAATGATCTTGAAGATAATCCTGCAACATTGAGACATGAAAGACATTATGCATATGTTCCATTTCGGGGGGAAGTGCTACCTGATACGCCATTGGATTAACCTTTTCAATGATTTCATACAGCCTAACATACGTTGGGGCTAACTTGCCCTTGGTTCCAAAGCGAGTTTACCCTTTCATTGGTGTCACCTTAATAAAAACATGATCATCCACGTCATATTCCCTGTCTCGCCTTTGGACATCCGCATAACTTTTCTGATGGCTTTGCGCGGTTTTCAATCTTTGTTGAATTAACTTCACCTTTTCTGTTGTTTCATGCACAATTTCAGGTTCAAGTAAAGGCCCATCTCCAACTTTTGCCCAACAAATAGGAGACCGACATTTTTTGCCATATAAAGCCTTGAAAGGCGCCATACCAATGCTCAAATGAAAACTGTTATTGTAGGCAAATTTGGCTAAAGGCAAGTGAGTTTCCCAAGTCCCTCCGAAGTTTGGATTGTTCTTTCTGACTAGCCATCGGTCTGTGGGTGATATGTGCTACTCAATCTCAACTCATTTCCCAATGCCTTTTGTAAACTTTGCCAAAATCTTGATGTGAATTTCGAGTCCCTATTAGAAACAATCGACATAGACACTCCATGCAATCTAATAATCTCATTAATGTAAATTGTAGCCAACTTATCTGCAGTATAGATTGTTTTGACAGGTAAGAAATAAGTAGATTTAGTCAAACGGTCAACAATAACCCAAATTGAATCCATAACTCTATTCGAGCGAGGTAGTCCAACAACAAAATCCAAAGTGATGTGTTCCAATTTCCACCCTGGTATTGGCAGTGATTGGAGTAATCCGGCAGGTCGTTGATGCTCAACTTTGACTTGTTGGTAGTGAAAACACTTGGACACAAATTTTGCAATTTCCTTTTTCATTCTTGGCCACTAGAAATTGAGCTTCAAATCTTGGTACATTTTTGTATTTTCTGGATGGATAGAAAGTTTTGAATTGTGGGCTTCATGCAAAACTCGCTTTTTTAACTCGATATCACTTGGTACACACAATCTGCCTTGAAATTTCAACACACCATTTTCAAAAACAAAATCCAACCTCAGTTTGGATTTCCGTTCATCAATAATCTTCTTAAAAAATTCATCTTGTTGCTATTTTTCTTTAATTTCTTCAAAAATTGCCAATTGAGCAGAAATAGCAACCAATGTCCCGCCTTATTCTCGCAAAACAATCTCAACTTCAAATTTCTCAAGGTCATATAGCAATTCTCTTTGCCTTGTAAGTAAGCAAGCCAAATTCCCAATTGATTTCCGACTAAGTGCATCGACAACAGTGTTAGCTTTTCTCGGATGGTACAAGATTTACAAGTCATAATCTTTTATCAATTCCAGCCATCTCCGTTGTCTCATGTTCAACTCTTTCTGGGTAAAGAAATACTTTAAGCTCTTATGTTCTGTGTAAACCTCACATGTTGCTCCATACAAGTAGTGGCACCAAATCTTCAATGCAAATGCCACTGTGGCAAGCTCCAAATCATGAGTCGGATAATTCTTTTCATGTGGCCTTAGTTGGTGGGAAGCATATGCTATCACGTTACGATTCTGCATCAATACACACTTCAAACCCTTATAAGAAGTATCACTAAAAATAGTAAATCCATTCGTACCCGACGGTAAGGTGAGAATCGGTGTAGTCACAAGTCAAGTCTTTAACTTTTGAAAGGCTGATTTTCTCTGATCGGCCTAGTCAAACGGTACCCCTTTCTGAGTTAATTGAGTCAAAGCAAAGTAATTTTAGAGGAGTCCTTCACGAATCTTCGGTTGCATCCGGCCAAACCCAAGAAACTTCAAACTTCGGTAATAGTAGTCGGTCCCAATTCACAACTGCTTCTATTTTCTGTAGATCGACAGAAATGCCATCTTTACCAATCACATGTCCCAAAAACATAACGCTATCAAGCTAGAATTCACACTTTGTTAGTTTTGCATATAATTTCTTCTCTCTCAAGGTTTGCAAAGCAATTCTTAAATGGTGCTCATGTTTCTCTTTACTTTTGGAATAAATCAAAATGTCATCGATAAAAACAACCACAAATTCATCATGGAATGGCTTGAAAATTCTGTTCATAAGATCCATAAATGCAGTAGGCACATTAGTAACTCCGAAAGGCATAACAAGAAATTCATAATGTCCGTACCTTGTTCGAAAAACAGTCTTTTCTACGTCTTCGGCTTTGACTTTTAATTGGTGGTATCTCAATCTAAGATTAATTTTGGAAAAGACTTGAGCATTTTGTAATTGGTCAAATAAATCATCAATGCGAGACAACGGATACTTGTTCTTCACTGTCACCTTGTTCAACTCACGGTAGTCAATGTAAAGCCTCAATGAACCCTCTTTCTTTTTCACAAATAAGATTGGAGTGGCCCACGGTGATGTACTAGGTGTGATAAACTTTTTATCCAATAACTCCTACAACTGGATTTTCAATTCTTTCAATTCAGTAGGTGCCATTATGGAGCTTTTGAAATTGACTGTGTACCCAGTATCACCTCAATAGTAAACTAAATCTCCCTGTCAATCAGATCTCCTGGAAAATCTTATGGAAAAACATTTGAGAATTCTCTGACTATGGGAATACTGTCCCCATTAGCTTTATTATCAGCAAGCACAGTCATTACACAATGTAAATACCCTTTACATCATTTTCTAATCAATTTGCATGCTTTCATAGATGAAATCAAATATGGGAGAGGTACGACACCAACTCTGTTAAATATAAATTCAGGTAAGCCAGGGGAACGAAAAACAACTTGTTTTGTTACACATTCAACGGAGGCATGATATTTTGTTAACCAGTCCATCTCCAAAATTATATCAAAGTGATCAAGATTCAAAGGCAACAAATCAACATGCAAAATCATATCCCCAATAACAATCTCACATGCAAGATACATATAAGCGCAAGTCATGGACCCCCCAGTAGGTGAAGATACAGCTAATAAATAACTCATGGGTTCCAATGGTCTAGATAATTTTCTCAAAAAAGCATGCGATACAAATGAATGGGTAAACCCCGAGTCAATCAAAATATAAGCATTTTGAGCACAAATAGAGAGTATACCTAACACCACTATCTCAGTATTCTGCACATCTCCTGGTATAAGTGCGAACACCCGGCCTTACCTCAAGGTTTCTCTCCCGGTAACTTTAGGATTAGGTTTTGGTGTAGCGGTTGATGTTGCAGCACTTGCTACGGGTCTACTAGTGCCTTGAGATGTGAGAGGACAATCTTTGACTATGTGGCTCACCTTGCCACACTTGTAACACGTCCTAGAAATTTTGTAAGAAAGCCCTTTATGTCTTCTGCCACATTCTGGATAAGGTGGTATAAAATTGTTCCCTTAACTGGAATTACTAGTTGACCCTGTATTCTATTTCTTACTATAGACACCTCATTTTTGACTTCCCTTCAGACATGGGCGTCTCAGGTTGATCACTCGATGATGAAAGTTATGCTGTACAAACACTCAATTTCTTCAGCAACAAGAGCTTCTAAATCCTAACCTTACACCCCATTTTTGACCAAAATTATTTTAGACCAAAACTATTTTAGACCGTAAAACTCTCATTTTTAAAAAAAAAATTCAAATGTTTCTACAATGTTCCGAGGGTCGCATTTTGTTTAAAATATTGCACTTTTCGGTAAACCGAGTAAGGACAAAGTGGAAATAAATGAAAAGGAGGTGAACTCTTTGAAAAATATTTAAAAACTTCTTATTTATAAGCTTGGATTTGAAGGAAATAGGAGGGGAGGGAAGAAAACTAGTTGAGGAAAAGGTTGAGCATCAATCCGTTGAGATAGAAATCAACAACCTTCACTAAAATAGGCATATCTCTTTGCACACTTATAATTTAGATGTCAAGCTACCACCATTGAAAATTAGACTTCTGGGGTTTCAATTTAGACTCAAGAATCACCTAAAAATAAGTCTGGATGAGAGAGATATGCCCGTTTGAAGTCGAGCTTGAGAGCAAATTTTTGTGGACGGCTAACCACAAAAGTGGACGACCAGCCACTAATACTGTACGGCCGACCAGTTGTGAAAATTTTGGCCATTTTGAGTGGATTGGCCAGCCAAGTGTCCCCACAACCCAAACTAGTGGCCAGCCGGCCACTAATAAGTGTACGACCGTTCACTAATAGTATACGGCCGGCCACTTGTGTCCAAAACAGATATTTGTTGCTAGCTGTTCCCATAGGTGCATGCACTGCACCAGCTGTCTATATACAGATATTTCTGACCTAGTAACATGTTTTTCTATATATAGATGACCTTCCCTCTTGGAATTAGGTTAGAAAAAATTCCAAAAACTCCATTACTTGCATAGCACTCTCTCTCTCTCTATCTTGCAACTGACACACTCTCTCTCTACACTTCCTAAACCAAAAATTTAGCTCTTCTTGCTGAGGTTCTTGAGCTTAAATCTCCGCCCTTGAGAGTGTAAGCTTTATGGTTTGTGAATAAAAGAGTTACCTTGCTTCAAGAGACCATCATGCAATCATTTTGCATCAATTGATGGTTTGTAAATCGAGTCTACCCCTCCTTTGATCTGTTTGATGATAAGGAGAGACATGGTGGACAAACATCTCCTAAAAATATTCTGTTTGTGCTCTGTTTTGTGTCTATTGCAGCAGGGCAGTACCAAACATTAGTGGCCAGCCAGGCACCTTTACTGTATGACCGACCACTTCTTATGGCCGATCAGCCACCTTTTTCAGTGAGGTAGTATTATTTTTCCTACAGAATAGAGTAGAGGATGATGTAAAACAGTGCATTTTTTTACTGCAAAACAGAAGTATTTTGGCAGCCAAACAGAGAGCATTTTCGGGTGAAAATCCGCGTGAAAGCATGAGTCATCCCTCATTTCTCGGGGCCCATAATAGTTAATTAACTTAATTTCGTATTGTGCTTAATTAGCTTAATTCTAATAGCTAGTTAATCTTAATCTGTAATAATTAGCTAGTATAATTAATTTATTTCATTTGGTTTGTAATAGCTAGGTAATTCGTAGTAATTAGCTAGGACATTCATTCAGACCCTCTTGTGCGAGGGCAAAATGTAATAATGTGTATGTCTTCCAACTCCCATTTCTTTCTCCCTTTTATTTACTTGCTTATGATAGATATCGTAGAGCATCATGTTTTAAATTAGCATGTTCCATGATTTGCATCCATTTGTCTTGCATGCATAAGGTTCGGTTCATCATTCTAACGACATTGTCATTTATTACTTCCTTGAATACGTGCGCCACTTTATGCTATCAAAGTGATTTACATGACATATTAGACAACCGAACCTATTAGTTGCATTTTTCCATGTGTTGTATTAGTCATCCGCCTAGTT